ATAGGCAATTTCTTACCTTCTGCTGATTCAACAAATTTTCAAGAAGGCGGACCCTGCCATGTGGTTGCTCTACAAGATAGGCTCGAAGGGACAAGGGGTCGAAATTCATTGTTATCCTTGGCAGCGTGGCGCTGTTGTCCTGGAGCCGACCTTCCGTGCAGATGGTCCAGGTTCGACTCTCGGCTTAGCTGTTTTATTTTCTCTGTTGTATATATTTTTTCGTTTTCTTTTCCTTTTTTATGCGATAAACGTATTTGTAATAATGTTTATGTAACATTGGCTCATTCTTCCACGGCTGGGCATGCGTTGTGTATCGAGATATTATATTAAACACTTGGAAAAATAAAGGATGTTATTATTCATTCAAAATTTTTTCCCAATTCTGATTGGCTAAAAGCACACGCATAATTCACCAAAACCAGTGACTAATGACCAAATTTGGAAGAATTTTGTGTTTAACGGTTTTTGGGATACATATGACAGATGTTGGGCATGCGGGATTGTCTTGACAAAGGAGCGAGAATGCGGGATCTGGACCCTCCTTCCAGATCCCGTTCCATTGAGATGCAAGAGATAGAAGATTGACAAAAGGGGTACAACATGGGGTTCCACGTAAAAATTTTATATTATGCAGGTTTGGCTATACACAGAAAATGAGCTAAACTATTTTTGTAGACTTTAAAAAAAAAATACCTGCTTCATCCGGACTGTTCCCACCACGGGAGTTTTAGTACCAGGAGGAGGTTTGGTGTTAGGCATTATTGCACTCACTGCAGTCGCCATGACTACATCTTAACAAACAACACGTATCAAGACAAGCGGAGAATCAAATTCGAAAACAATCTGTCTTACAGTTGGGAAGGCTCGTGTTCCCATTGTTTCCGCCGTTAGAAATTAGGAACTTGGATTGACACTACTCTCAGGCTACAGGTTCACATGAATAATACATGTAAAGCCGCTTCGCTTAATACCATCTTATAAATGTCAGGGGTATAAGAAAGTACTTAATTAAGCAATACAAACATTAGTTCATACACTAATAATATGATGTATCGATTATTGTAATAGCATTCTATATGGTATTCCGTCTATACATATACTTGGTCAACCGATTTGTGGATTACAAGTTTATTGTTTGATTTAAACTATAAATTTATAAACTAGAGCTACGCTTTTAGCCGTGGCTAAATCTACATATATATGCTTCTGGTACAGACTGTTCGATGTGGTTTCGGCAGCAACACCTAGGACAAAAGGCTTACGTTTTGAGATATTTGCTGCGGTACAATAGACAATTTCTTGATACGAACAAAGCATAAATTTAAATGTGAGCAGACCAGGAAAGGAGTGATCAATCTTCAAAATAGTTTTTCTTTAACGACTTAACGCGTTTGGTAAAAAAAGTTCACCAGGAAACTAGGAACTGTGTATTCATTTGCAGCATACCCATGTAGCCGCTGCATTTTAATTGTTTTTAGGCTTGACAAAGATAGAAAATTCCACCGAGCAAATGCAGTGGCTATATGCATATGCTGCAATCAAATCCATGCAAAATGACTTACGGCCTGTTTATATGGAGGTGGGGAACCCCAGATAGGTGAGGTAACATGCGGCGGGTTACCCTGCACCTATCATGTAAACGTAATCAAAATAAAATGAGAGATCATGTGGACAGGCGGGTTACCCACCATGCAAAGCGGGTTACCTCACCTACCTGGGGTCCCCCCCCCGCCATGTAATCAGGCCCTTATTTTACAACAGTAACAAAATGTATTAATTGTAGCTGAGTTACCTCTTTTACGCCACATTGTCTCCTCGTAACGAGCTGCTGTTACCGTCAGCGAAGCACACAGCAACAACAATAGCATATTGTATCTAAAACATGATAAAGTTTGATCATAAGCTGTGAAAACCAGTATCTCTGTTTTTTGACACTCCTTTTTAAAACAGACATTCAGAGGGAACAGCTTATAGTCAACACTATTGGATGTGTCAAGTAGTTTGCTTAGCAGGTTCAGTAAGTCGAAGAGTGTCAGATGCTAGTTGCAGGATAGGCCACCTTTGCAAATAAAAATGCACTAAAAAAAGAATATTGTCACAGCCCGCCCAGATTTTATGCGAGTCGAGGGAATTAATTTGGAAGGCTATATTTTGAAATACTTTATTTTTGGAGTACTTTATATCCTGAAATATTGTGTCATGTAGCTGAATTCTAGAGCCATTTCAAAAACGCTCTGGCAAAATTAGAGTCGGTTATTCGGTCACACGTTATGTTAACCAAGAAAATAATGAAGTTTACTATGACTTGCAACTTCGTTCGCTTGTTCTAATGAGAAGCGACCACTCTATCCGTTTCTAGACAAAAGTTTGGAGGCATTAGAGCTCTTTCTTCCTTGTTCATTCACAAACGCTTGAGTTCCAAGATCACGATCAATTAAAGGCCGGTTTGCACAACACTTTATAACGCCATTCCTTGAATGGTGAATACAACTTTAAAGTAAAAATTAAATCGTTTAAAAAAGGCACCAACAGACCGTGAAATACATCAAACGAAGAAATACTCACTTCAAAACAGCAGAAGCTCAAGAAACGAATGTCTGTTTCTTGACCAGAGTGGGAAATCAGACATATAGTTTGCACGCGCAGCTGAATTATTCACACGCATGAAACAATACAAAATGACCAGTAAACAGAGACATAATGACATGCCACAAGCAAGGTAATCCCAAAAAATTTCCATAACAATTGGAATTAGGTACGCAAAGTGCCTACATAATTGACGAAAGAGTTTACTTCCCAGACGTATTGGACATTTTGAGGCTGGGTCGGTGTACGTAGTGACGAATTGCAGTATGGGCCGGACTGTTTTGGCGAAACGCCGCCGCTTCTTTCATTGGCTATTACGAGCTAATGATATTAAGATTTAGCCAGGGCTAAAAGCGTAGCTGTATTTAATAAATTTATAATTTATATCAAACTGGGGAGATCCATATGACGTTTAAGGGTGGGGCTGGGTGAAGTTAAGAGAAAAAATAATTTGCAAACAGCGCAAGAATGAAGCAACATCTGAAATCTTACATCGAGTTAATAGTTTTATTTGTACACCTAATAAAAAGAAATCACCTTTGGCCACAGTAGATAAGGTGTGGAAAACAAATTCTTCCCAGGCAAAATCACTTTTTTTATTTCATAATTTTATGCTATAAAGGCCGTAAAAACACGATAGTCCCCGGTGGCAGCCAATTTACCCGTTATAATTTATCGGTGTTATCTCTCTGTCTAAAGGAAAGCCCAAAATAAAAATAAGGCCTGATTTTTCGTGTGTGTAGCTCGTTACAAGTCTGGTAGCGCGTAAACCAGCCTTTTTACACTATGTTTGAGGTAAACAGAACTATCAGGCGTTATTTGTTTTCAGACGTCGGACAGAATATATGTTATTTTTTCCGGCCCTATTTTAATTATAATTCTGCAGTTTGTTAAAGAATAATCTTACAAGACAAACTGCACCCATTCAATATTCAGGACGATCTATATAGAGAATTCACCATTAGACGGGACTGTTTAGTCAGGTCAATCCGCCATCAAGTACGCAGGGTAATAATGGGCTTTGAGTATACCTTCTATGACAAATGGTACCCCTTTCACATATCTTGTTTAGAACTTTGCATCCCTTTTAACTGCTGTAAATGCACTGTCTTTTAAATAGGAATCAATCACAAAAATAGAACGTTTTCTCGACTTTTTAAAGCCAAAAAATTAATCTGTCAGCAATTTGGGGACCTTTTACAGACCCAAATCATATGGCAACTTTTCCCAAATCAGCTTCATTTTGAATGAATGAATGAAATGTAATGTCGTGCATGGAGAGGACAAAAGGACTGTCCTCTTTACGTTATATATAGCTCGGACGTCAGCAGCACAGCCGCCCTCAGTCCACTGTGTAACCCGTTCAGCAACATGATGCTTGAAAGGTAGACCACACCACCGCGGAAACGTCCCCGACCCATTTTGTTCAGTAGTGTGGGTTCTTAATTGTTTTTTCCCTTCGATTTGACTAATAAAAGAAGGATGCAGGAGACAAGACCGACGGCTGAATGTCACCTGCTAATAACGCGCGATCATCTCAACTAAGACAAGATCTTGAATCATAGCTAGCAAGATCTTACCAGTTTATTTATTTATTTTATTTATGACCCTAGTTTTTGGTCAGGCCGGGGTTTGAATTCACCAGGCTACTCCCATACTTACCTATACGGGTATGTGCCGCCCAACGGGGTCGTGATTTTGAAGCTCCTGATTTAGAACGGGGTATCTATCAGAGACGTTTTCTAGAACGGGGTATAATATTTAGAACGCACGAAAGCTCCAGTTTTGTAAGCAGCCATTTGAATTATTCAAGGACAGATTGCTTTTAAAAATACGGTTCAATGCGTTAATAAGGAAACTGTTGTACTCTTGTTGCACCCTGTGTTTTAGCGTGCAGGGCGGGCCTATTTTGGCTCGAGCCCATTTCTAGAACGGGCTATCAGTTTTAGGGCGAATTCTAGAATGGGGTATAAAAAATTAGCCCATTTCTAGAACGGGGTATCAATTTAAGGGGAAATTTTTTTTAGAACGGGGTGCCAATTTGGAGTCCCGGGCGGCACAAAGCGACTCAAAAAATACCCAAGTGCCCCCCCCCCCCCCCCCGCGGGGCCCCCGGGCGGCGGACCGGGCCCCCCCACCTGCCCCAACCCGGCGCACGTTTTGGGGGGAACTTTTTTTTGTTTGGTGGGGGAGGGGATCCCCCCCTTTTTCTTTTGCTTAACATTTTTCTCCGGTTTGCTCTTTGTGGCTTTAACACCCAACTCTATAAACATTCCATCACCTGGACTCAGTCGATTCATGCAATTCATTTATTGTTTTTACGATTCAGCATTCGCTAAATTCATCAAAATAAGTAACAGCTGCTGTACGGCACTCCTCACATAAAATTGCGAATTGGCAATTTTATCTGAGTAGTGCCGTACATGCCGTACTGTACGAAACTAAGTAGTAATAAAAATTCCAAGTCAAATCTCACGTTGAGACCAGACTTCCTTGATTTCCTCTATATCAGAAAGATTTAGAGTCACGCAACCAAGTTTTCCTTTTGCTTGTCGTTTACTGTTAATTACTTCTACAAAAACATTGGTAGTTTCACGTTAATTTTATCCATAAGAAATGTTTTGAGCTGATTTTATCAGCTGATTTTCCATTTTGAGAAATCTCAGGTTTGCTGTTTGCCGTAAACGTGCATGACTCTAAATCTACGCGAAAGTGGAAATCCACCACCTTAACATTGACAACGGCTTCGCTGGACACCACTAAACAGACTGCAAACAGTTGGCCATTGGTATTTCTAAACAATTGCTTCATACAATGTTGCAACATTGAGCAAAACTGTAAAAGTGAAGTACAAATTACCAGATTCCTAATTTGCATCGGTTATGCTCTGTTTATCTTTAATGATGTTATTTTGTAACAAGTTAGCGCACTGTTATCTCAGTGCTTAATTATTCTGATTGGCTAATTCAACGTTCCGTGGAAAATAACGCCGCAACCTAGCCGTGCTCCCGCGTTTCCTGTCTTTAAGCTCCCCGCCTTGGCTGCCCCTTCTCCTCGCCCAAGGTCGTCTATTTTTTGGTGAATCTACAAATTAAAAGACAGAAAGTCTAAAATTCTATAACACAAGGCAAAGATAATAAACATTCTAAGTGCTGTTACACTCGGGACTCTGTAAGACGCGGATGCGGACGGCGGGAAATAATAAATAAATATAAATAAATGTACTGTATACGATGAAAAATTAACATAATTGAAGATAAATTGAGAAATTTAAAAATAATAAAAATAAATATATCAGTCGGCGACATGTCCTTCCGGTCTGTTTGTCTCTGTCTCCGAAGATTTCTGTCTGTAATCCGAAGATGTCTTCAATGACTTCAATGTATTAATCAAGTTATGTAAATGCTTTACTTCTTAAGTTTTATTCATATTTATCTTATTTATATATCGTTCTTATTTATTTATCTTATATATTCACTTATTCATTATTTATTCATTTATTATTATCCGCCGTCCACATCTTCATTTTGCAGAGTCCCGTTGCACTCTTTACTTTACCACAAATGCTCTTCCAATGACAGAATAAGGTCCAAAGAGGGAAACCACATTGTCCTCAACTTCGTCATCGATTCGACCATCTTCGTCTGTGTATAAGTTTCCTAAGTCACCAACATGGCTGCAAAAAAAGAAGATGTCCTAAAAATTCCACTTTCTTTTATTTAGTTACGTACATAGAAAAAAGAGAAATGCTCCTTCTTTATCTGTTCCCTGATTTAACACGCCCCAGTGTTATGTTTGCTGAGTTGGTACCTAGGCTAGGCATCATCTTACGATTGAAGGGAGAGAGACACAGCAAGGCGATGTTTACAAACAGCTATGTTTTTTTCGTTGAAATAATAGTGGTGAATTGTTTTTTTTTATTGAACTTACACTGGTGAATTTGAAGCATGTAAGGGCTTACCTAAATTTGCATCGCAAACGTAGGACTTGCAGAACAAGCCAGGAAAGAAGTGATTGCCTTTCCAGATCCGAAGCGTCTTTATCATCTTTATTCGCGCTTAACCTTGCGTATTCTCTGCTTTCTAAGCCATAAAGTACTGGGATTTAAAATACCCTACTGTTAATCTTGTCATTAAAAATCCTTACCGTACTTGGTCAGTGGGCGAGCCGTGGGTGTGGTTAAACGGAGTGTAATGACCTCCGGTACTCTGACATCCTGAAAAAATATATATATGTATATATACAAATTATTATACTCAAATGTGACTACGGGATAATGCGTTTCTATTGTATGAAGAAATTATATTTTTACCCTTGCATCCAGTTAAAGCATTTCGTCATTATTCCAGTTTTAATCTTTCGCACTGCCGCCTTGGGCAGTTTTCGAAAGAAATATTATATGCTAGCCGTAATTTGTTGGTTCAGAAATACCATATTTCACATGTTGATCAAGTTGCCTGGACACATTACCCAAAACATACATTTTAGAGATTGTCAATGTGTTTCGAGGTGGATCCCAAAGGACCAGTCATTAAATCTGAGTGAACGGTCAACGGTACACTCTTAGCCTTAGAGACTTTTGTCGGGAAACGTCTTTATTGTCAAATGTGATGTGACCTTGAAGTTACCAAGTAAAGTAAAGCGAAGTAAAGCAGGTTGTAATGTTGGGGCAGCAAAATTTAGCTGGAAATATCACTCAAGCCTACCATCAGTGACAGTGTCTCCAAACTCGTGGATGTGGAAACCGTGAGGCGTATTGGGAGGAAGGCCTGTTATCTGCACTAGCATAGAGGTAGGACGACCATAGTTCTGCAAAGGAAAGGAATTAATCCACAATGATGATTATGACAACAGCACCGAAATGATAATGATCATGATGATGTTTTTGATTTTGATGACAATAAACTGATAGACATGATAGTGATTATGATGTTGTTGATGTTGATGTTTACGCTATTGCTGCTGCTGTTGATGATTGTTGATGATAATGGTGATGATGTTTCTGTTGATTAGGATGTTGTTGTTGTTGTTGTTGTTCATGATGATGTAGAGGTTGATGTTGATGATGGTGATTACGTTGATGATGATAATGATGGTGATGATGATGAAAGAGGAAATGATCCTCGCAGTTGAATAAACAACCTAAGCGGTCGTTGACGATGATGTTGATGACGTTGATAACGATGATAATAATAATAATACTTGACCAAGTAGTATGCAATTCTTGTGTGGATTGCGTACGGTCTCCATATATTTTTTGTAAACAAAATGCACTTCATTTGTAGCGAATGCAGGTGAAAAGTGATTAAAAGGACGCGCATTGAACTGATACAGACGGTGAAAGGCACTCGTTCCATTATGAGGAAACGAAAAGGACAAGGAAAACGCAGGCTAAGAAGAAAAACTGAGTTTTCAACCTGAATCATCTTGATCGTGCCTTTAATCGGTGTCTCTGTCCCTGGGGGAGGTTTGGTGTTAGGCCTGATTAAACTGACTGCAATCACCGTCGCTCCATCTGAAGAGAAAAAACAAGAGTAGCATCACGTCATCGAACAAATGCTAAGAAGCAGTGATAATAAAATGTCTTTAATAACCTTCATTAGCAGGAATGAAATAAACGTGAGATCAGAAATTTCGAAGAAAAATAAACAAACTAGGGTAGAATATTATCATATAATTATACATTATTTATTTTAAATGCTCAGTTACTTTGAAGCTGTATTTAACCTAGAACGTCCTCCTTAAAAAAATTCTTTCTTTGGTGGGGTAAATTTCGAATTTTTTTTCTTGACTAGTGCCCAGTTTTTGAATACACCAGCAAACTTTTATTTGACAAGTGTCCTTATTCAAAACTTGACGTGCCTAATGTAAGTAAAAGATACCAGTAAGAGTAATTACCTCTATTGTAACAGATTTCCTGAGCCTTCGTTAAAGCCAACAAACCGCAGAAAGCCCACAGCATCATCACGTTCATGGCCTTTAGGAAACAATTTCGAAATGCTTTAAATAAATTTAAAACCCATCCCATTTATACACAGACATTCTTAACTTAAAATTAAGGCCAGTTTCAGGCGTCAAAATTTCCATAAGCCCATCAACAATCTGGATTTGCCGAAAGGAAATCAAAATCCGTTTTAAGATCGAAAATCCGTTTTTCAAACGCAAGTATTCTTAGCTTAATTTGAAATGCTTCTCACATGGGAAGACGTTGAGCGTTCTTTAACTCATACCCGGCGTTTCGGCATAGTTATAAGAGGAGACTGGTTATGAAAAGCGGCAAACATCAATGATAAAAACAACAGTGCTGCAGTTTATGTTGGAAGCACCCTGAAAGTGCACAATCCTTTGTTTTCTGTTGGCAAATTGTTACGGAAAAAATTAATGCAACGTTTTTATTGGTCAATACAATCAAAATGATAGGAATTCTTTTGAACGTTGTGCACTTTCAGGTCCACAAAAACATATAACAAAGGAGTCTGACGGGTTTCATAACCATTCCACTCAATTAACTATGGTTTCGGTGATTCCTTGCCCATTTTAAAGTTTTTAACCTGCTCATTGGTAAGTCCTGCAGCCAGGGAGCTTAAGCAACAACGACAGCAGCGGCAGCAAAAACGTCACTTAATCAAAGGCTCTTTTTGTGAGTGACTTCGTGTATGAATTGGACTAGTGTAGAAACGATGTCCAGTCCAATAGTCAACAACACCCCATAATGGCGGTGCATTGGTCCGACGGGGTACCTGACAATTTGTTAGTCGGGGCTGCATAGTAACTTCTACCAGTGAACAAAAATAGCCAAGGTAGGCTTTTGAAAGAAGAAACTATAACGTGACTAGTTTGATCTAACCGGAAATTCCAGAAAATATGTCGTTCTGCCTTTATAAAAAGTGACAGGGTCAACTTTTGGCATTTTAAAATGCTGTTATATAGCAGTAATTTTCTAATAAAGTTTTAATTTTGTTTCTGTCTGATATTGCATTTTAGCCATTCTGATTATCCAGGTGAATATGTTTCAGATGTTTTCATTTCACGGGACTGATCTAAAAATAAAGCTAAAAAACACTTCCTTTCTCCTGAGGAGAGACTTTTCACACGAGGGGAGAGAATTAGTTACATAACCATCAGAGAAAAATTTGCTGCCACCTTTTGTGAGAGAAAATACAAAAAAGGCGTGAAGCACGTGCAAAGTTTGCATATCAAACCAATTGCATTTTTGCCGTTCTCGTTGCCGTCGCCGTCTTCGTTGCTTAAACACCCTCTCAAGTGACACCGGTTCCTGAGGATGATTAGGAAAGAAACAGCTGTTCAATTCAATGTTAAGATATACATTTACTGAAGCAATTGACCACTACAGAAAATACCATAACATACCATAATGTTCTTTGTTTGTCACCCCCAAAACTTTCCATAAGCATTTTCTTTAGTTTCTCTTGGGCTGAATGGCCCCAAGATAAACTGTAAATTATGGTATGTTATGGTATTTTTCGTTGAAATCCGGGGTGTGTTTGTAGTTGCGACCGAGCGCACAAGTAGTTCTCGGCACATCAGTGAAACATATGTAACCCTTCAAAGTAACCCTGAAATTCTTCTTTAAAGCACAATGAATATCAGCTAATTCAATATTCTCAAAAGCAGGAAGCTGCTGAACCGAGCACTGCGATGTTCATTACGCCCGTGCTGAAGAGTAGTGATCATGATGTCACGTACGAAGTGATAATATAACATGAAACGAGGTGCATTATGGGATACTATTCGATCGTCGTCTGGGTTTCCATTATTTTTCTGTTAGGTATGGGGTTCCGCTCGTGCGCGCTCAGAGGCTCTTCTATAAATTTGACATAGTGTAATTTCAATTTAAAAGGCTTCTTTTCAAACCCAAATCTCCTATTTATTTCTTGAATTTATCTTATATGAAAATGTTAATTACTTATCGTTAATGAATGACTGGTTTATTTGAACTGTATATCAAAAGCCCTTTTAAAAGCTCTTTATGGTGGCTCACTGGAAGGACAGTGTTCCCATAGAACGATGATTCAATGTAAAATTTGTTGTTTTTTTCGTGTATTTCTGAGAAGTTAGTCTCTTCTTTGTCTCGTCTGGAGGTTCGTGTTCATTACATTACGTGGAATCAAACCCGTGTACGTGACCATGCATCTGACCTGTGTATTGAATGCCTTTCATGTGGTGTCAAATAATTCAAGGTCCATAATCTATATCTGATAAAACTGAAAAGTCATAAAACTGCCCTACACAGTGAGATACCGGTGTTGAGATTTTTTTTTCCCTGAGTGGGTTGCACTGGATATGTTTTGTGTGGTAAATTAAAAAATGCCAAGTAATTATATACTGAAAGTCTACCAAAGAAAAGATACAGTTAACACGATCGTCGTGTGTTGAAGATTCTGTGTCACACAAAATGCAGTGAGTATTGTATCGAAACAAAACAAAAGAAGAGCTTCTTACCTTGTTATAAAGACAGGAAAAAACTGTAAAGAAATGCTCGCTCGTGATGAACGATGAAAACTGTACAGACCTGTATGTAAAGTGATATTAAAGGATCATTTAACACGTGATGTTTTTTCAGTGGAAAGTCTTAACGCCCGGGGGGAGCACAACATGCAATACAGTGTACCACTCTGAAGAAAGAACGCATTGAAAAGATTCTACTGTGTGACAAGTGCAGACTGGCCGGTAAACGATGTCGTAAAATTCTCTGAAAAATATTCCAAGATTTGAAGCAAAAGTTAAGGGACAGTAACGTTACTTTTCATCCGGCGGAAAACTCCCCAATATTTCTGGGGTGTCCGCTGTCAAATTTTAAAACCTGGCACCCCTTTAAGGTAAATGAGCGTGGCTCGAATTCAGGTAAACGTCTCAGAGGTGTCCCAAAATCAGTCGAGCGACGAGTAGTACAAGATTTATCATTATTTGGCCTTACACCGTTAAGAGGGTCTTTTGGTCTTAAAGAGCCCCGAGAAGCTACCGTGACAGTCTACTCGAGTTTTCTGTCTCTGGAAGGTATCTCTCTGTACATAGGATTTTGGTTTATTTCGTGATTGAAACTACAGCTCATGAACAACTCTTCACCCCATGTAAATGAATTGGGATCCGTAATTACGGAAATGTTTGCTTGTGGAATCCGGAATCCGGGAAAGAATCCAGAATCCCGGACTTTGGAATCCGGAATACAGCTCGAGGAATCAGGAATCCTACTACTAAAGTCTGGAACCCAGAATCCAAGTTCCATTGACAAAGACGGTACAAGATCAAATGCTGCGACTGCCAGGCTTCTTACATTGGTGAAACCGGCAGAAACCTAAGCACACAAACGAGCGACGAGGAATGGTGACGCCAACAATCACATAGACCGTTCACAGTCCCCTATTTTTTCGTGAGATCGTTTAGATATACAGCGTCTTACCGTGACGGCTATCTTGATTTTCAAATGCCACGAGGGGGCGGACGTCGAGGATTATAGCTCTGGCTATTTTTCTCGCCTCCTCCTAAACTGCCCCCGCCTCCTAAGTAGTTTTGACACTCATGCAAGATGGCAGCCTGTAACGCAAAGTGCTCGATCTCGATGATCTTACGAAGAGGACTGTGAACAGTCTAACAATCACATTGCTGAGCACCATTTAAAGACGAAATATCAAATTGACTGGGACTCTGCGACATGTATAACGTCTACAGACCTACTATCAAAGCTGGCTTACTAACTTAAAACAAACGTCACTGAATCGTAGCCAACAGTTACCAGCGCCGTACAAACGACTTATTGACGAGATCAAGCAAAACTAACTACGAGAGAACTACTGGAGAACAATTACTGATTACGAGTCTTCATAGCCAATAACATCATGGCTTAACTGACAGACGACCAATAACATCGCGACGTAATTGACCAATCAGAAAAGAAAAGTATTTCTCGTCTCGTCCCAGTCCCTTTTTGGCTTAAAGCGTTCTCCTTGCTAAACGCACCATGTCTGAGAACTCGACGGATCTTGAGAAAAGACGGACTGCTCGCAGTCTAAAAAAGCTTGAATAAATTACCAAATACAAGAGTTTTCATTGCAGCTGGAAAATGGAGGTTAGACGTACTGGAGTCGGTAGCTCTATTTCTCCTCAAAACGGGAACGTTCGGTGCTAAAAACTGGTAGGAGATTTCCGTGGATACTATATTTTGCTGTGCTGAGATCACCCCGGTCACCCCGCATTCATTTAAGGTTCTTCAACATCACGATTGACAAAAGTGTCATCCAAAGACGTTACTAATGAATCAAAGAACGTTATTTCGAAACGCATTCTTATGGGAAAGTGTAACCTGTATATGATACTCGTCAGAGAGAAAAAGAACCAGGCAGGAGCAAAACGCCCAAGACCCGTAAATGACCACGCGCGTGACTGAAGGCGCGAGAGGGGAGGGCGCTCAACGCTCGCGCGCGCGTGCACTCTCCTTGCTAAATCTGAAGAAAAAGAGAGACAGCTCGCAGTCTTTTCTTTTCTTTTCTTCATTTATTTGTGGAATAAAAGTTAAAGTTTATACTTTTTTGTTTTCATAATACAATGATCGTGTTCCTTTGAGTCCAAGCTATTTTTGGATTACAGTTGCTAGGCAACGAACATTGAGCAGCCGCGCCTGTCAGGCAAAAATTCAACATGGCAGAAGAGTTGCCCGTTTTGAACACTTTTACTCGCATGTTTTTTTTCATAGAGGAAAATAAGACAAAAGGAGCCAAGATTAGTTAAATTCATTTTGTAAGAGCTTTTAATTTTACACTAGAAAATCATTTTGGTGACAATTATTTTTAAATAAGCTTAAGCTTTGTATTTCTAAGCTATAATGGCCGCGTTGTGACAGACTCTTCAGCTCTGTTATTTTTGTTCGTTTGTTTAAAGTTTACTTTAATTTTATCCGTTTCAGTAGATAAAGTTGAAAAGAATGCATTCAAGAGCTTATTTATTACTGGAGAAAGAGTGGTTTAAGCTTCAAAGGGAAGACCTTCCGTGGGTAAGTTGATCGTGTGTGTAGGTATCGGTGCATTTCACTTAATGTTGTCCCTTACTTAGAGCCAATCCCCTAAAAGTAACGAAAGCTTTATTTTGAATCCCAAAATTTTAAGCTGGATTTCATTGTTACCCTCTAAATATATTCATTAACTAAAAGTAAAGATATCTATCCTACAACAATAAACTAACCCAACACTTGTAAGAAAGCAATAAGTAATGTTCATGTACTGTGAACTTATAACTTGACTTTTGAACTGCTGGTCGTTACCCTGCAAGCAGAGTCTCCCGACTTATCTAGGAAGAGCAAAGGAGACTCTGCTCGCAGGGTACTGGCCGTGGAAGGTGAGGTGGTTTACGGTCAAGTTATCCAATTAAAGTTTTAAATAGCTTCCTGGCTTTAAAAACCCATATGGGTTTTAGCCAGGAAACTATATGTGTAAGTATAACTTTGAGCGACTTGACCTTAAACCACCTTAACTCCCAAGGCCAGTGGTTCAAAAGTCAAGTTTTTTTTTTTTTTTTTCAAAAACTGGGCATCCACAGAACACTCAGATGCCAACCTGGCCATAAATCCTTGGTCTGTGACAAGGCTGACGGACAGCAAAATTATTTGAATGGAAGGGAAGTTAACCAGTGATACATATGTAGTTTCTGATAGCATGCAACTATCCCCTGAAGTGGGGGTGAATATTGATGGCTATGCCAAGATGCAAAGCATCAAGGTATATATCCAGAACACTAACTGTAAGGGATATATATGCAGATCATCCTCAACCCCATTCCATATACAATATTCTGACTCCATGCATAAGCTCTCTGTGCTCTTGTCCATGTAAATGGACCTCATAGCACATGTTCTTCTGTCCAGAGTCAAAACTCTTTACTTCAAGGGTGCCCTCTTATCCTTCTTTGTCTCGTTTTGTGGAGCATTGTGCTCTTTTGAAATTAAGTTGTAGAACTAAAGAAATAAAGCTTTTAAAGAATTTTCAGGTACCATACTTAAGGCACTTACTAGCAGCTGCTGAGAAAATGTTGTTAAACATTCACAGATTTGAGAAAAAAAAATTTCCGCAAAATTGGCCAATTTTTCTGCGAATTTGTGCCTAAAAATCCTGCGAAATTTGACTTCATCTTCCGCGACCTATCAGAAGCCCTGATTATTGGTATTTCATTGTCAGTTATGCCACTGCTTGATCAGCACTGTTCTTTGAGTTATTACAGTGTAGGTTTGGAGTCCTCTGAATGACAGTTATTTCCTTTGACATTATCAGGGGATACAGGCAAGGCCTTTAAATGAGGACAATATGTTTACTTGGGAAGGTACCATAAAGGGTCCAAAGGACACAATGTGGGAAGGTGAGTGGTGTGTGACAGTTTTGGGTTTGCTTTCATTTCCATCAGTCATCAGTCAGAAAAAATAAAAGCATGATTGAAAGAGTCATATGAAGTACATACCCGGGGTGGTATAAATTTCAAATAGTTGTGTGCTGCCCAGGGTCTTAAACCCTGACCTTATTTAGGGATGAGACAAATTAAAGTTGGTACCCTTTACTCTTCCAAAAAATGACACCCTCTTTGAGGAAAAAAAGCAAAAACTAACAATTTATTGGCAACACATAAACCTTCATAAATTTGCTTTCCTAATACACTTTTAAAGGGATAGTTCAGTTTGAACAGATGAATTGTTTTTGTGTCTCTTGGCGTTAACACTGTATGCACTTGAATTTTACCTGATACAATTGTGTACTCTTGTAAGGATCGCATCGGGCACTAAATGGCAACAAAGGCATTAATAATACCCTGATTAAGGATCAAGACCCTTAAAAACCATACCATATTGGACTTCTTGATAGGGCTAAACTCCCTCACTGCAAAACTGAAGGCTGTAGGAGATAGCAATAATAATGTACAAAGTCAAGAATAATTTATGCCTTAGTTAATACAATGTATATACATCTAATAATAATTTTAAACTTAAACAACCAAAGTTATAACCTGAGAAATTCAAACAATTTTTGGATTCCCAGTATAAATACAACCACCTGTAGGACACAAGTTTTTCACGCAAATTTTCCTAATTTGCATGTATTTTCTTGTGTATCTTTGCATGTATATTTTTTCACGAGTGTTTCACACATGTTTTTCTCGTGGAATTTGCGTGCAACATGGCAGATTTCCATGCATGAAACACACGTGTAATGCTGCAATACCCGTGGCCTGTACTGTACATGTACATTGCATATTGGTCCTGTAATATGATCCAAACTAAGTATGCGCATATTAAGAGTTCTGAAAGACTTGCTTCTTTTAAGAACCAGGTGAGAAAAGTGGACATTGAGAACCTCCTAAGAACTGTCACCTGTGCAACTCTTAGAATAATGGGGTGGGCAGGGTTTCTGAGTTTGTGTGTGTGTGTTTTTTTGGGATAGTTAAGTAACTACTATCCGGTCAAAAAAACTTGGAGTACTTTCAGTTTTGGGGCATGCACATTCAGTTCCCTCATCCCCATGCAGTGTTGTTGAAAAACGTAGTTTTGGAAAGCTTGAGAGATTTTCAACTTAGTGAAGGGGGAAGTGGGGGGAATTGACTGAATGTTCCAACTAATTTTCCCGGGGTGGTAGGTGCCCACAATCAGTTTACACTGTGTGTAAGCTAGGCATTTTGACACTTAAATAAAGTGGTAATTATTATTTTATTATATTGGGCAGACCAGGCTACAGGTATCTATAACCCACCCTTACAGGAATTCGGTATATAATTTAAATTATACTTTTAAAGACAATTAAAAGTATACTTTATAAATTTGTGCTTTAAATATACTTAAAGTATATTTGTATGAGAGTGTCCCGCTGCCCTCCAGAGTACATGTAATGCCTCTGTGTCTGATCTGTTTGACAGGTGGTGTTTTCAAGTTGTATCTGCAGTTTAGTGAGCATTATAATGGCCAGCCACCAGAAATATTCTTTCACACAATCCCTTTCCATCCAAATGGTGAGCTAATGTGTTTGTTTCTGATGTTAAAAAACCAAAGCAGTGTTTTATGCCTGGAAATAATTATTTTAATCCAGTATCATAAAGATAATAATAAATTATTCATGTTGTGAGGGTAATTTATTTTGTGCTTTTGAGTATAAGTTCATGCAGTGCTTCAACTGTGCAAATTTATATATTTGCTGGTACATGCTTGTATTGTTTACGGTAAAAGAAGTGTACAATACAAGAATTACAAAGATCTTCCAAAATGAAGAGACATGTTTTCTGTTTTGTTATAGTTACACGTAAAACAGTTTAGGATAAACTTAAAAAGTACTCACAACTAAAACAGAATGCTAGTCGGGTTCATCTTGATTCTTTCCAAAACACAGCATTTTGACCTATTTTTATTTATTCCCATGAGTTTGCCACAATTATGGTGCACCTGTACTAATGGGTGCCTCTTTTACAGCACACTCCCACCTCAACTATCTGTTTGAAACAATGTCCATAGTAACACTTGTGACTCTGTAAGTCTTCAGTGCTGTTCTATCATTCATATCAGTCTTTTAATTTTTAGTTGACCCAGACACAGGCCAGGTTTGTGCAGATTTTTTGGATGACTTGAGCTGTTGGAAAGAATGTTACTCAATTCCTCATATGCTACTCAGTCTCCAGGTAGGCAGACTTGAATGTTATTACTGCAGTTTGTTTTCTAAAGTGGGTATAAATTTCTAGCATAACATGTAAATGCTGACAAATTTTATTAATGTTGTGGGAGAAAATTAATATCAATGTTAATCTGTATTGGTGCTGAAAATAATGTTTAGCTTAGTTAGCAAAACATACATATAAAACTATTTTAGTTGTCCATCTGGTCACAGTCTGTCTTTATTTTGTTTCCACAAGAAAGTCACTTAATGTTGCATTACAAATAAGGATTCAGATATAATATTATCGTAGTTACTAAAACAAGGAATGACCTACAATGATCTACAATGACCTACAATGATCTACAATGACCTACCATGATCTACAATGACCTACAATGATCTACAATGAGCTACTATAAGCTGCTAGGAGCTAAAAAAATTAGCCCTACAATGAGCTACAAAATGACAGACAATGATGTTTGTCGTGTGTCACGCTTGGACGTGACACTGGGCTCATGGTATTAAATTGCCAAGCACATTTTGAAAAGGCAAAACAAAAATAAAGCCTGATCTCAGGTAACTTGAGAAACTTGAAAATAAATTATTGCAATCGTGTTTTTACCGGCAACACTGTTATACCCTGTATTGATGGAAGTCATCCTGCGTCTGCGTGAATCCAGTGTATTGTCACATTACTGTTTAATTTGTTTGAAAAAAAGACAACACAAAACACAACTAACAGGAAAGGTTGCAAGGGATGGTTTGGACAAAAGTCACAGCACTGTGACAATACACTGGATTCACGCAGGCGCAGGATGAATATAAGACGCGTCTTACATAAGACGCGTCTTAAATAAGACGCGTCTTAAATAAGACGCGAACTTTCCGTATAAATGGCACATTTCGTCTAAAATAAGATGCGGCTTAGCTAAGACGCGTCTTATTAGACAAGACATGCTTGTATAAATGGTACAGTTCGCGTCTTATTTTTCCTCATATAAATGGCCCTATTATGTTACAGGTCAAATCTAAACTCAGGTTAAAATTTTTCAACCTAATTTGACTCTAAATTTCCTTTGTCTCCTCTAGCCCTAATTATTAACGAAGTAGGGCTAGGAGACAAAGAAAATTGAGAATCAAACCTAGGGAAAAAAATTTAAACCTGAATTTAATTTTGACCTGTAACATATACATCTGATTCTAGTAAATTGTTCCCCTTATTTACGTATGTAAATATGAATCTCCTAGCAATGCCATTGCTTTGAAATCCATATGTACATGTTAAATAGTTTATATTTGCTCTTTATAAATGCACTGCACAGTAGAAAAATCAGTGTGATTGTGTCTATCATGGGATACCTCATTGCATTGCAGAAAGAAAAACAATGCACTGAATATTAAAAAGATCTGTTTCAGCCTCCATAGTGCCAATCCAGCCTTGCAGGCCAAAGTCTGATTCAGGCCCTCCTGGAGCCATTTGAACACAATTTAAGCCAAACAGCCCTATCAAAAGCCTATTCCAGCCCACGCTGCTGCCTATTTCAGCCCTTGGGTCCAAATCAGCTCCCTCCCTCAGGGAGCCAAATGAGACTCAAAAATAGGACTGTATTTTAAGCACTGAAACGGCCCTATTTTTAGGGCTAAAACAGATCTTTCTGACTTACAATGATGAATGTAATGATAATAATATTGTTATACTTGTACAAACAATCGTAAAGTAGGTTGATCACATCCATTTATTAACTACCGTATATAAAAAGAGTTGGTCATTTTGACTGGGTAAAATGAAGCCATTTGAAAATCACCATTTTAATCGTATTGTTAATTTACTAAGGGATCTGGTGTATAGTAGTAGAATTGGTGTATAGTAGTAGAAGCTTGTTGCTTGTTTATCTTACGCCATACGTCATATGAAACCTTAACAATGTATATTTTTAAATGCATTTCACGGTATACTTTCAATTCAACTTTGTTTCAGATGCTTCTTCCAAACCCCGTTCTTGAGAATGCTGTAAATGCCAGTGCTGCACGTATTTTTGCCTCGTCGCCCAGTGGATTTAGACAGACAGTGTTGGACTGTGTTCTTGCCAGTAAGAGGCTGGAAGGTAATACATAATTAATTTAAGATACATTTTAGTATATGTAGAACTCTTTTGTATGATGTACAATATATATAACTATAATTATAAGTGCAGACGAATTGTTAGAAAATAAAAGTGCAGCAGGGTGCAAAGAAAGTCAGTTTTAGCTTGCCATTCGGGCTGTAGTATGTACTAGCCCAAGAGTCTTTAACTAGCCCCCCCAAAATTTTGATAAGCAGCATTGATTACAGTTCTTCTGTAATTTGAATTTGCCACAAAAATTCACTTGCCCTTTGGGCATAGCCTGTGAACAGGCTCTCTGTTTTGGGATAGGGTGGAAAAGTCGCGAGGAGAGAGAAGAAAAAGGGTGGTACCCTTCCCTTCTCTCTCCTGGCGATTTTTTCACCCTTTCCCCATACAGAAAGCCTGTTCACAGGCTATTTGGGCGAGTTAAGAATAGAATTCACAAGCCCTATTGCAAAATCCATGTGGAGTTTACAACAGATTTCTCTCCTAGCACATATTCTTGAATCTGAATGCTGCCAGGTGCTAGCTAGCGCAATTTCAGAGGCTTATTTAAACAGATCAAATGAAACGCTGGGATGGTGAGGCTAGTGATTTGTGTTGTATGAAATAAATAATATTTTGCCGGCAAGGAACGGCAACTGGGTTCGAGTTTTGCGCGGTTCTAGGGTATTGTTACGAGGCCATAGCATAGGTTGGGGGTACACGGTCCCTTTTTTTTCCAGTAGTTGCTTTTTTCGTGTTTACGCGTCCGACTGTGGTGTTTTCATATTCACCATAACGATGCTAATTCTACATTTGAAAACTGTATAGTTGGTTTGCGCGGTATAAATAAATGTTATTATAAATAAAATAATGTTATTATGAAAGTGTATCATGGGCCTGTCTGCAGACTGACCGATTCGTTTCTCTAAGCGTTTTGTGTGTGTTCGGTCGGGTAGTGGAGGCAAAATGTTAGGCGTTGTTGATAAACTCTGATAAAAACTATATTTGGCATCGGTCAACAGGTACCTTCTGTCTTAATTTCAAAAAGGAGGCTATTTGTTAATTCAGCCGTTATGTTTTGTTTGTACTTTACGCCTGTCTAGCTGGCCTAAAACCCCACACGGCGGATGAAATCGATGTGACTCGAATATCACCCAAACTTAATGAACTGCGGCCCGAGAGAACTGAGAGGAAAAAGGTGTCTGGAGTTGGACAAGTCTCGTTTGATGACTATCATGCCATGTGGAGTGGAATTGCAACAACAAAACCAGTGTCTGATGCGTTTAATCCGCTGAGTGAGGTGTTGAAAGCTGATTCAAAGTTACAAGCTACACACTTTGGATTACCACAACAAGAGCTTCAGGAAGAAATACATAAACAGCTTAGTGAACATAACGCTATTATGTACGGCAAATTCGACAGTGGAAAAACAGGGCAGGATCTAGCCGAGCTCAAGTCCACCAAAATTCAGCTACTTAAGCAGATTTATCTTCCGAAACAGCAAGGTGAAGCTAGAGTCTTTACGTTCTTGTCAATGTACAGGTGTATGCACTGTCATGCATCTCTAGTATCTTTTACAGTACCGCTCAAAAGTAAGTTACCGTACTGCAGTCGATTCTTGATTCCTGTATGAATCGATGACCGAGCTGTAACAGTCACTGTACAAATCAAGCTTGATATTTGAAGACACATTTCGAAAAACTTCAATTCTACATTTGTAACAAATAAATCCGCTCGGGCGACACTAGTGTTGCTGGGTGTCAATGTAAAGTTGCCAAGAAATCAGTCAGGGGTGAATCTTTTGTCCTCTCTGTCTCCCGAAACTCGTTCTTGACTCGATTCTCGATTCTCAACTCTCGTAGGAATCGAGAGTCATGTAAAGAATCGAGACTTGCAACAGACTGCTAACTTACCTTGAAGCGGTACTTTAAGTACTTGTGAACGTTATTGAAATATTGTTAATATTGTGTAAGCTATATTTCTTTAGGGACGGATCATTAGAAAACTTATGGGGGGGCGGGGGGGCGGGCGAAGTACAAAAAAATATTCGCGCAAGGGAAAATTAAACGGAAAAAAATTCATGCAAGCCTATTAACCCTAAGAAATATTCATGCTATGGCGTAAAAAAATCATACAAGGAATTTGATACAAAAAAATTCCTGCAGCTCGAAAATTCCCCTTCCCCCCCCCCCCATAACTTTTTTGATGGTCCGTCCCTTAGTAGAGGTATCATATTATTGGGCGTGTGACTATGTTGGAGTGCTGCCTGTCAAGGGATTACTACTCACCTCCTGTTACAATGTTACCCTGTAGTGTTGCGGATTTCTAGGGTTAAAAAGTGCTTTATTATTTTAAAAACGTTCCGTGATGTACAATGTCGTTCTCTCGTTTATCAAGTATGAATTATCTACCACTAACCTCTGGGTTACTCCAAAGGAGGCTGCCTCTACCTCGCAAAAACGTGTTTATTTCATGCAGATTCCTCAAAAGTTCCTGGCACTAAAAGCGAATGTCAGGCATTGAAGTTACTTGCAACCAAAGTTGTCGAGAAAGGGGATACCCATTGCCTCCTGCAGTGTGGTTCCAACTATCAATCATCAAGCCAAAATTTGAGATGAATATGCAGAATATTATCACTAGCGACGGACGAGTGACACCTACCTGAAAAGAATTAATTGTGCTGCTTTTCTACAAGAATGGACCTTATTCGGAATGCCGGCTCATTTTTAGACTGCAAAGCAGTAGGTTTTTTTTCTCAAAATCAGTAAAGAAATCGGTAAAACGTGCCGTAAGAGTCTTGCGTGCGCCGAGCGCGCGAGCCTCACACGCCCGTACGGTTCACAGCGGTCAAACGAGTGAAATTTGCAAAAGTTAAGCGAAATACTTCAAAGTTAAGTTTGCTACTTTCACTATCGAAAATTTAGGGTATTAACAACATCCTGTTAGTTTACTAAACTTTTTAAAAGTTTACTAAAAAAGTTCTAAGTGATTGAAAACCGATGCTGACGTTATTATCGGCGCCATTTTCAAACATGATTCTCTCTTAGCGCGAAGCGTTTTCAGCGAAAAAAGCTCAAATTTTTGAGAAAAATGGAAAGATAGTTATGTTGATTAACTGATTTATACATCTTTGCCCATTTTTCTCTAACTGGTAAATGAAATCCCAGCAATAAAAAACAAAAATAACGATTTAGACGTTTGACCGCGGTGGTCCCGTAGGGTGTGTGAGGCGAGGGAAAAAACAAGCGTCTCTCCCCAGGTCTCGCTCTCTGTTTTCAGCCTCGTTCCAGACCTTTTGTTTGACTGCTCGCGCGTACATGAATACGCAAAAATACGGACTGTTTTGCAGTCTAGCTTATTTTCTGATCATAATTTTATTAACTGCTTCTGTTCGATTGGCTTGCAAACGACCACCGCAGGCAATTGCTTGGCTAATATCATAGGTGACGAATTACTCCTTAATTTTGGCGCGAGATTTTTATAGGATAGCATGATTTGTAGTGATTTTTGGCATAAATACCACGAGAGATATTTCAAACTTGTTATACGAAATTTCACGAGCCGTTAGGCGAGTGAAATTTGAGACAATTTTGAAATATCACAAGTGGTATTTATGCCAAATATCAAGTACAAATCATGCTATTATTTGTTTATACTACTACCCGCAAAAGGCTTGTAATTTTCACATGTAGGTTTTTCAAATTAAGCTGAAATACCACTACTCTAAGCCAATCAAATTGCAGAAATTTTTCATGTAGTAGTATAACACCTATACTAATTTGTAATTTCACTTGTGAAATTAAAAAAAATTGCAATGGCAACCTTCCGTACGTCTCAGTGTTAAGATGGCAAGGAAGTTTTAAAATGCCGTAAATGAACATGTTAGGGCACAAAAACAAGCTTCGGAAAACCTCAACACACGAAAGAGCACATCAAGAAGGATTCCAACAGGTATTTTGTCGAAAAATTTTGAAAATTCTGAACTTAAGCCAAATTTAAGGTTTAAACATTTGAGAGAGTGGAGTTCTTATCTCGATCGATACGATCCAGGATAAACATGTCAAAAATTCACGACTGCTAACTTAATTCGTCACCCACGATACTAATAGGTAATCATAAAGGCTCGAAAAGTTATTAGGATTTGGACAAAACGCGCGTGAAATTATTTCCTTATTTCACTCGTTACCATTGGATTACACATACAAACTCGCCGGTTTCAAAATTTCTCTACTAGGGAAAGATCTTGCTCTTGTATCTTTTTGTTTACAGTTGGTCATAATTCAGGGTCTCCACTTATCTTTGTTTTGCTTAGTACGGTTGATGTTGTAGTCCCTTTTTGCTTTGCTTCTCCCGCCCTTTATTGATCAGTTTTATCGCCGACCCATATAGCGGACTTCCTGGGTTTATGATTAGCGATTTTCTCTAATGAATGCACTTTTCGCAAAAACGCACTTTAGCAATTCACAGTGTGTTTACTTCCCTTACTGAAGACAAGTCTGTTATTTCTACGAGTTCATCGGAGCCATCAGGGTTTATTTTGCCAACTGCAAATGTTGCACCCATAATTGCGATGATCTTTACATTTAAAACATGCTTCAGGCAGAAATTCTGATTTTCTTTAAAACTAAGAAACCAAAAGTCGGTGATGTTGCCTCAAAGTTAAGTGACTCTGCTCTATCCTGCATCAAGTCGGTCTTGTATTGAGTCGAGCAATGACAGTTCAGCAATTAACTTAAGGTACCCGTTTTGGGGAGAGATTTATTGTGCGGTCTCTGTTGTGCTCAGATCGTTTACTATTGTTGTTGTTGTGTTTTCCTTCATTTTTTTTCGCCTGATCTTTCTGGCGTTACTTTGCAGGCCTGTCAAGTGTAGATTCCCCGACACCAAGAACAATTACCAATGCGCCCTCACCGTCAACTACAATCGCGAGAGATTTGGAACCCCATGATCGCGAAGTGGAAGAGTTATTAGCGTGGACAAATACCCTGCCTTAGCTACAGCAGTTGTGAACTTTACATTGTAACTAGTTAGACAACATTTTGTACGCGCGCGTACAGCTGAACACACGTTTCAGTCAATTGCCTTGGTTGAGGCTATGAACGCACTCACGCCACCCACAGAAAGACCGTAAAAACTTCACTTGTAGTGATGTTTCTTCTGGCAGGCGCACAAGCAACTCAGAAAGAGCAACAAAATGTAAAGTATTTTAAAATACGTTGTGGTTATCACTCACAATGCACCGTACTTGGAATTGCAATGTATTTACCATACAGCGATAGATGCAAATTGTAATATATATGTATTTTTGTCTCCAGTCAAGTGTAGATAAGAGAAGATTATTTTAAGTAGAACAATTTTACTAACTCAACATTCGAAGGCTACAGCGCTGCGGTTGAATTTTTCTCCAATGTACTCAGTCGTGGAAAGTAAATTTGTAGCCACTCAAATACAGCGGTAAATAATGTCAAAAATCTGTCAAAAATGTGACTTTTATTTTTAATTGGCGGTGGTCGTGAAACAGAAAGGTCATTCTCTTTTAAAATAATTAACCAGCCTTTGAGTTCAGTGAAATCGCGAGAAACTGTTATTTTGTTGATAGCGTTCGGCCATGTTTGCTAAACAGCATGTTATGGTCTTCAATAGTTTTCTGTTTCGAGCACCTGTAACAATTCCACTTTTTCCATTGAGCAAATTGGCATTACCCCTACCTTCAATTTTGGATAAAGCAGAATAATTCTTTGCATAACAAACGTAAGAAACTCAGCATGAGTTTCAATTAAATCTAAATTTACTGAATTTCAAATTGTGTTAACACATAAACCATTGAAAGGTGAGAATGGTACTCGCCATTTTGTTTCTAGGAAGTCAATTAGTTTAAATCGTTAAAAATGGCTAAAAAGCACCCGCTGGATAAAAGTGTCGAGTATTTTTCTTTTTCAATTAGCAAATCTCGACATATTCACACAATATTTAAAATTTAGCAGAAAACTTTGAAATTCTGACGTTCATTGGCATTATAATAATAAACTAATTGAGCTTAGCACGTAAAAGCATAAGATAAACTTAAAAGAAATTTCCTCCTTGTAAGACCCCCCTACGATGCTGTTGTCATACCCATGAAAATAAACCGCAAAGTATATGTACCTTAGTATTTGTGATTATAGTACTATATTTTTCCTTTCCTAAGTTAATGTAGTACGCACTTGAGATGCATGTGCACCAAAAATAGTCACTTATTTGATCTGGACTACTTTACGTTGAAAAGCACCACGCGACAATACGCGTTAACGTTCTGTTTTATCACTCTGGGCCCAGTTGCTCGAAGCATGGTTAGCGTTAACCGGCGTTTAATACCTTGACAACGTATTGGTTTTGATACTGTTTAACCAATGGTTAAAGCTAACCATGCTTTGAGCAACTCAGCCCTGATCTCTACAAGTTTAATTAAAACTGAATACCACGTTTTTCGTAGGTTCGCCCCCGTGTGATAACTGTAAATTTGTGGCACTTTTAGTGAAACCATTCACGAGTGGTCTAATTTAAGATAACCCAAAAGAGTGAGTGAAAAGAATGGTTTGGGTTTAGCAATGGATCCGCCCAGAAGTAAGAAGAAGAAGAAGTACTTTCATTATGGTAAATTCGTCTTATTAACTGAGTCAATAAAATAAATGCGTTTGTCCTACTCCCTATCCGGACTCAGTCAGTATCACAGGCTTATCAGAGAATGGGATCCAGTTTCTTATTGCAATTATTTTCATAAAGCTTAGTTAGGAAAGGAGACTCATCGTTAACGAAAATAGGGCAAATTGAAGAAAGACATTTGCAAGTGTTTATTATCTGTTGAACCTGTCTTTTAACAGCGGACCCCTCAGGTGTAAGTAGGTTAGGAGAATTAACCCTTCGCGCAAATGACGCTTTCGCCTCGCTTGGCTCAAAGCGCCCTGTAATGCAGGCTAATCTTAAATTGTTCTTTTTGTTGATGTCAGAGCTTATTATCTACGGAATTACACTGTGTAGATACCCACGTCCCTGTGATTCGAAAAAACTATGAAAATTTTGATGACACGTCGTCATTTTTCACTTTGGCTGTAGTTTGCTCCATCCTGGGCTTGGTGATTAGATGTTTTGTTCCTTTTTGTTAAAAAGCAGGAATAAACAAAATACTTAACAAGTATCCTGGGGCGCTCATTTTGAGGATGTTGTTGATGAGGACTCTTAGCTATTATTAAACTTTAAGCAGAATTTAATATTAGAACAAAGTGCGCAGGAGTTTTCAGTTCTATGTGTGCGTACAGATGGTCATGACAGCAGTAACTATTAATAGCGCTGCAAAGTTTCCAGCAAGTTTGGCCGACTTCAATTCCATTTCTTCTATTTTCGGCCGTCTGTTTTGTTAATGTGTCACAGAGTGGAAATGGTGAGTATATAGAGAGGCATTTCAGCTTTTTCAAGTAAGTGATTGAAACCGTACATGCACTTTATATGAAACTGCTATGATATATCATTTGCTTGATTGCAAAAATATGTCCGCCAATATATGAAAGGTCCAGAAATAAAAGGGACATAACCAAGTGAGATTACAACTAGAAATGAACTGAAGCTTGGACAAAAACTATGTTGTAAAGAAGGATCTCTGAGGCATAACTATGCCCTCTAAAGGCGTTAGTTGCAAGGGAAGTCGAGTCGAACTGATTACCATGAAAAAAGACACGTGAAAGAACAGATTTATGTAGAGATAGATTTTTTATAGGTTTTTGCAGGCGTTCGAGTTTGGTAATGTACTATGGTAACGTGCTATGCGCATAGCAGGTTCTAACTTATTTGGATGTTAAATTCCTGTGATAAGGAGTTAAAGAGTATGACTAGATCGTGAAATAGAATTGTAAAAAGTGTATTTCTTTAATGGCTGTTAAATGTATCAACCGCCTTCCCACCGGTTAAAAAAAGAAGGCCCGGTGAAAAGGAGAATAGAAAAACATGAAACTCATTTTTCACAGTGGAACTGGAGGCAGCAGAAAGTAGGGTAGAATACCGTGAACTGAGACGGGCGCGCCAGGGGTAAAGTACAAATATCACCTGCATGTTAAGTACAGAGCCTTGTTTATGAACGGCGAAACTTTTAACGCCTTAAACCTTAAACAAACAATCTTAAAGACGTCGAAAATTAGTTTTGTATTATATTCAACAGAATAATTAACTTCAGAGATGATTAGTTTGAAAGCTTTTTCAAGAGGGCCATTAAACTGGAATAACAACGCATGCGCATATAATATAATCATAGAATCGCTACAAAGCTCTTTATAATTATCCTTTTTTTCTGTAGATTGAGACTGTGAAGTTTTTGATTTTTGCATTGGACATGTCATTTTTGGACAGAAATTTAACAACGTAAATCAAGTAGTTTTCCTTTTCCCTTGGATCTGCTCAATGCAGAAGTGATTTATATTTACGTTAGACAGCTGGTGTTGTGTCAGACTACTCGACGCCAAATTAACGTATTTCGAACTAAACCAAACGGTCAGGTGCATGTCTTTGCCGTTCTTTGATAGCATCACGCACCACGGTTCTTTAATTTTCTCGAAATTTTGTGTTTCTGTTTTCAAAACCCTCAGGTAGCCTGGGAACTCTCACCATTCTTTTGTACTGTTTTTAGCCCTCCTAAAGAAAAGCCTTCGATTTGCTTCGTAAAATAATAATAACTACAAAATAAATGGACGGCTTTATTTAAGGAGGGTTGTACTGACCAGTCTACACTGATAAGCTCATACCCTCGAAAAATATCCTCTATGTCAACTCAGTAACTGAGAAGCTTTTAATTCCACTTGAGAAACAAATAAAAAATATGAAATACCGAAAAAGAGGAACTCCGGAAGTAACCTTAGACTATTAATGTACTTCTTACTACGGGATAAAAAAGGCGGGTCAAACTTGAGCCTCAAAAAACCATACACAAATTTATCAAGTTAGCTTTCCAATTTTTCTTGCAGTAGTTTTGTTTAATGTTCAATCATAAAAGGCTTTTTGCAGGAAACATCTTGGAAAATGTTTCAGAACAATGGCCAATTTAAAGATGCAAAAAACAGCTGTCGTTTTTTTGGAATTAAAAATAACCTGATAAATAAGTAAACAGTTCATGCAAGTAAATCAATCTAAAGGTTGATTTTGCGTCAAAACCAACCACTTTGCCTATCACATCCTGAAAATCTTTAAATAGCAACCTGACCGTGCTACATCCTATCTAGAATGTTCTCTCACTTAACGCTGTTTTTAATCTAACGTAATACGAAAATATATGAAGTCAACCTGCGATTAACGTGTTCTGTGCAACTATTCCTTGGTAAAGAGAAAAAAAAAAGAACTGATCGGAGGTAAAGACATAACAAAATAACATAAAAATCTAAGTAAAAAGGGGGCTTTTCTTTTGTCATCAATAACACTCTATTATGTACTCTACGAAACATCAGTGACGTCTTTAACAGAAATGTTTGGATATCCAGCCATCATTTTGGTGACTAAGCAAGAGTCGATCGAAACCTGAAACGGAACGATTGCGAAACAACACGCACATGCCATCTTTGAAGCCGCGCATATTAGTTTACTGTTTGACCAGTATTTAGTATTTCATTGGAAACTAACGGCTTAAAAAAGGTTCTTGTGACGATTTGGCAGTCATTTTTTTTCCCGAAAGCATATTGAAACTAATGAGCAGGCCCTCCTTGAGTCAGCGGCCTGGGTTATCATTATTTATTTATTTTAAGAAAGCAAAACCTTTTTGTACGTATAACTAGGAGTTTTGAAGGAATAGACGTACGTACCCTCTTGCATTTTATGGCCGTGGTGAAAATGTCCCTCGTACACATCGTTCGGTAAAAGCGGTAGTTTTCTCTTCTGGCTTAAGAACGACTGGATCTTAAATTTCTCTGTAATGCAAGCCTGGAATGACATGGACGGAGAGCTGACATGTGAGACGGGAACTCCGTTGTTGCTACCATACCAGTATAGAGCTAAGTCATTTCCGTTACTATGGCTTTTGAGCAGGGCGGCGTTTGAAGTTGCTTCTCTATTAGTGCGTCTGTCGCTTTGAAAGTTTCAACATACTATCGATGGCAGTGCTGTGTTTGTTCTTCAGGCGGTATAAAGTTAAGCTGTGCATTTAAAGATTTGCCTTCAGGTTCTTCATATACCACTTGCAGAAACGGTTCTGTATTATCTTCATGAGCGTGGCTAAGATTGTTCAAACCTGGGAGAGGTTCTTACTATCACATCCACATCCAGGGTACTTATGTGTCATGTCGATTAAAGAAACAATTTTCTTGGATGGACAGAGAGAGTGGGGGGGGGGGGGGGGGAAAAATTTTAAAAAACCATTTTTGGGGGGGGGGGCCCGAAGGACAGGTGAAGCGGGCCTTTTTTACAATTTGTGGGCCCACAAAGAAAGGCCGCCAAAAATACGCGCTAAAAAAAAATTTTTTTAAAAAAATTAGGAGTGCGACACCCCCTCTTTCAAGAAATTTAGGAGAAAA